TATTATAAATGCATTGAGATTAGTGATATGCTATTTATATGATAACTGAAAAATTTTAGCATACAGTATGTACAGCTAGAGTTAATACCTGGATCCGGATCCTAATCACAAGATCCGGATCCTAATAATAAGATCCGGATCTAATCACAAGATCCGGATCCTAATAATAAGATCCGGATCTAATCATAAGATCCGGATCCTAATAATAATAAGATACGGGTTTCCATACTTCCGGGACACTTGAAAATTTTGCTCAGTTTCTAAATCTTTTTGGCTTCATCCTAAAAATCACCAATTATTCGGAAACCACGTCGCTGTAAACTCGTATCTAATTATTAAAATCCGGATCTTACTATTAGGATCCGGACCTTCTTATTAGGATCCGGATCCTATAACTAGATCCGGATCTTATTATTAAGATCCGGATCTTGTGATTAGGATCCGGATCCAGGTATTAACTCTACGTACAGCACATACAGTATGTATAGTTCTTTTCTGGCATCTGATTGGCTGGAACAAGTGATCAGCGAAAATTTTAGCATACAGTACAGTACGTATAGTACTGTACGTGGCACATTGCTAGTTAAGATCCTTATATCAATAAACTTATTTTCATCATTATAGCAAAAAGTATTATATTAATCATTGGTCTATCTGATCTAGTCCTATTTGGTTCTGGATATTAGTCTAGTCCAATTCTTTAAAAGACTGGCAGTTTTTTAACCAGGATGGACTGGACAGACTAATTAATAGCCCTAGTTGACAGTAAGGTCTTTCAGGGTCAATTCTCATAGATAATAACATTTTAGGTATATTATCTATTTTCTAAAATAATATTCCTTGTACCAATCTTCTTGTTAGAAGATTGATATTTAGAATTCTTTGTTTTAACACATGGTATTGGTTTCTACATACATTGTAATGATCAAAGAATCTAGTTTCATATTCATTAAATTCTTTAAAAAGATAATCTTATAATAATTTCAGTGCAATATTAATTATGTACCGTGTTCACCAGAATAGGAGTTATGTTGAATTTACTAATTTCAACTACTTCTAATTGTTTCTACTTATTGTTCATACATCAGAGTTATCTGTGCTATTAATTAATTTATAGTACTCCAATAGTGTAGTAGTGGGGAAAATTAGTAAATCAGGTATGTTATATAAGTATCGCCAAGAGAAAATCTGTTATTAGGCTTTCAATAATATTTTGTATCAGATATATTTTCTAAGAAATTAAATAGATTTTGTCCAGTACAAAATATAATTGAAAGCTCAATAACAGGTTTTCTTTTGATGGCACTCATATACAATAGCTCATGAAAGAAATTATGATAATTATAATATAAAACTAATCAAATATTAATAATATACTATATAACAGATTTTTTACAATAGCTCACAATAAATCTTTATAACTCAATTTTGAATTTGTGAGTTTAACAGTTTTAATTAGTTGATATATTTAGAATAAGTAATTATTTTTATTTTTATTCATTCTAACTTAGTAAGTGTATTAACATAATGATCGGTTATTGACTAAAATTAATACTTTTTCAATTTTTTATAGGCATCAATTTAATTTCAGATATTAATTTATAAAAAAAATCTTAGTTCATGTCACCTATAGTCATAAAACAAATTTATACAACTTTAGACAATAACTAGTTTTTTTATTAAAATAAAATTAAATAATTAAACTGTAAAAATAATAAATTTAATATTTCTCTATTAGATTTATGGTTTATTTTTTTGATAGCTTTTTATTTTCATGAAGTACTGAAGTAAAATACTAGACATATTTATTAATTATCTTCAAATTTTGGATATTGATCAATTATTTTATCCAATCAGTGAATAGAAATATCACATGATAAGATAAATACAGAACACAAATTAATATATCATGGATAGAGTATCTAGGATTACTCTATATTCTTTAGAAGTTTTCAGTTGTCTATTATTAATTTTACATTAACCATACTCATAATTTAGGTTTGTTGATTTTCTACATCAGAACCTTTCAGAATTAACTCCAAAAAACTCTCAACAACCAATTATTTTTTAGCTACATAATATGGATATTGATATCCAAATTTTAGACTAATGAGTATTTTTTGATGACTATAGGTGGCGTGAACTATAAGAAATAAATTATTGCTATTAAAATATTTCCATTAATGGTGATACTACTTTTTATTAAAGATTATGAGTAGTCTGATTTAGAGTAAGAGTTATATATTATTTAACTTCCACCTAATGAAAAGACTTTTTGGCATTTATCTAAGTTAGTTATTTAACAATATTTCTATATTATGTATAATATTATACAGTACTTATTCTGCAGATAATTTTATAATAATAATGTTAACATATTTAAATTTATTAAACTTTTTTTGATACTTAACAATTATATTGGTATGTTTGATTTAGGGAAAAGGCTGTTATTGTCAACCAATAAATCTTGATAAGAAATATAAAAAAGGCTTCGAATAGAAAATAAACCTTTATAATAAACATATCTAATATTATACAAATGGATGCTAATTTTAAAAAGCTAGATATAATTAAAATTTTGGTAGCTTTAAGAACAGTGAACCCAGTAATCATCACACATATGATAAATCTTTTGGCCTAAATTAGAGTTAATGTTAGGATTAATATTAGAGTTAGGTAATAGTTAGTTTGGGCTGATTTTGTTAATGCTAGTAAACAAATAACTTAATTGCATAAATTCATATGATGTGATGATTACTGGGTTCATCTTTCTTGAAGTGTCACAAATTTTTACTAGGTGTTGCAACAATTATGAAATAGCTTTAAAAAGTTTTAATTAGTTTAGATAAAAATACAACAACTTATCATACATGCTTATAAGATCAAGTTAGTAAGTTAATTTATTAATTATTAATAATTAGAACTTGAAATATAATATATTTGTTATCTGTTCCTGGTTTTAGCACAACAATGTTGTGCAGCTACCTTATTTTATAAGTGATAAATATATATAATTTTGGATCTATCAAAATACTTTATTTAAAACTAGATGTCTATTTTGCTAACCACACAAATTTTCTTTTTAAATAAATTCCAAAAAGTTTAATAGAACTTGCAAAAGAATAAAATAGTACATAGTAACAAGATTTCTGAGATGCTATATAATGTTAGGATGTCTAAAGAATTTTTAAACATTGAAGAAAATTTAAAAATATTACTTAGCAAAAATATGAATTTTTGCTATTTATAATTATTATATAAGAAATAATCTATTTGTAACAACCTGTTAAATAACAACTTATTAAGGTTAGAATTAGGTTATGTTAGTACTAGTGTTAGCATTAAGATTAGAGTTAAAGTTAAATTTATATTAAGATTAATACAAAATTGCAAGAGAGTCATTTTTCATTAGCAGTACAAAAGAGATTATCTTAGTAAAATTTTGTGTTTTGAAGGATTTGAGTATAGATTGTTATGTAATACATTGTTACAATTAGACTTATCTATTTTATAAAAGTTATATGATAAAAATATAATAAAAATATTTTAAGAATTTATTTAAAATCCACCGGGGTTGAAGTTCACCGGCCTAAGAATTGTTAGGATTAAGTTAGGGTTAGGGTAAGGGTATTAAGAATTTTTTTTTATATAAAATAACATAGAGCTAATAAAAAGTCCTAATCTCAGTTTTTATAAGGTTTTCAGGGGTTCTGAATATTTTTACTTAGAGTACCTGATCCTGTTTACTTAGTAAGTTTTTAAATACAGTACACCTAGTGAATTTCATCTCCGGTGAGCATTAAAATCATTCATATTTTAATATAAAATATAATAAATATATGATAAAAATGTTACAAATATATTACAAACATATGGAACAAATGTAATAAAAATATTTTTAAGTCTGTTAAGTTAATATTAATACTATGATTATCATATAATAATTATGCAACTATTATATATTTATTATATAATATTTTATTATATAATATATATACGTATAACAAAAATATAAAAAAAATATAATAATAATAATATGAATATAAAGTATAATAAAAATATAATAAAAATATAATAAAAATACAATAAAAATATAATAAAATATAATATTACAAAAATATAATAAAAATATAATTAAAATATAATCAAAATATAATAAAATAATTTTACAAATTATATAAAATTATATAGAATTATTTATTATTGTATTTTAATTATATTTTAATTGTACAGTCAAACCTCCCTAAATGCAACCTCTCTAAATGCAAGATCTCTCTAAATGCACAGTCTTGCTATGGCTCTACTATATATACACTTATAGATTTTTACCTCTCTAAATGCAATACCTCTTTAAATGCAAAATTTTTTGTGGTCTGTATGCAGTGCACTTACGGAGGGTTGACTGTATTTTTATTATATTTTTATTATATTTTTGTAATATTTTTATTATATTTTTATTATATTTGTTTCATATTTTTGTAATATGTTTGTAATATGTTTATCATATACTTCTTATATTTTATATTAAAATATTTTTATCATATTATAGTTATATAACTATTATATAATTATTATATAATTATTATAAAATACACCTATGGTATTCAACACCATATATAATTGTTTTTAATAAAATTTAGGGTTGGGTGCATTTTTATAATTTTTTTTTATATATTATGATATATATTAGATATAAGTTTCTAATTTTAGTTTTTATAAGGTTTTTGGGGTTCTGAACATTTTTACTTAGAATACCTGATCCAGTTTACTTAGTACGTTTTTGAGAAATAGGAACCTATGGTGCTGAACACCATAGGTGCAGAATAGTAGTGTCATAATTATAAATAGCAAAAATCCAAGTTTCTGCTAAGTATTTATACTTTATAACCTGGGAAATTAAAATTGAAACTCTGAGACTCTACCATACATATAGACCCAATTATTTTCTCGTTTGCATAAACAAAAGTTATTTTATTTAGACTCAAAAGATATTAACTGCCCTATTCACTACTATTAATATCATGTTCACTAAGTTTTTTGGAAATATATAAATCAGCCTCTTTCAAATCTATATCAAGCAGTCGACTGGTATAAATGGCTTGTGGATGTGTTTTGTAAATTAAGTTATAATGTGTTGATAATTCTTTTGTGGCTTTTATTTGCTGATATTGTTGGTGAAATACTGGATCCGAATCATTATGCCACATTTTAAAATAATCTTGTAACTCAGCAGCTTTTGGGCGAAGTAAAGGGTTACTACCCCAATATTTGATAATTAATGATTTTAATAGTTGAGGTATGTTAACAATATCTAAATTAGGTCGAAGTCCATTGCATATATCTATAGTCAAGGAAGTGAAGATCGAAGTACGGAGGTCATCCAGAAATAATTCATACGCAACTATTTCCAAAGAATAAACATCAGAAGCTTTTGTATATGGTTTTCCTCTTAAGACTTTAGAAGCAACATAAGGTAATACCCCATAAATTTTTTTATTTTCATTTGCTTCATTTACTGGCTTACATAATCCCAAATCAGCAATATAACAAGCAATATCTCCCAGATTTTTACTATATTTAATTAATAAATTACCCGGATGAAAGTCCTTATGAATTAGTCCGTGAATATGAATATAAGTTAGCCTATTTGTCATTGAATATAACAATCCAAGTTTGTCTTTTAATGATAATTTATCATAATTGCTATTTAAATATTGTCTTAAGCTATCACCTTTAAAATAATGCATTATTATTAAATAGTTTCCCATTGTGGGGTCCCGAGAAATTCCACAACATTGAACAACGTAAATAACAAACTTTCTGTACTCAAATAATTGATAATAAATAATCTCTTGTATAAAATCAGATGTTAGATCTTTAGAATTATTTAAGCAATTTAAAACAACATCTTGATATTTCCATTTTGCTTTTGATATCACATTAAAGCCTCCCTGAGCAAGATATTCAATATTTGTTAATTTCTCATAAGGAATTCACTCAGTTTCGAATAAGTTCAATGATTTCATTATTTTCTGGATTATTATTCGACTCTTTCGCATAATCAATGTTGTATAAATAATTATTAATATCAAAGTCTAGTTAATCAGAATCATCTAAATGATGAAATACTGACAAAAAAGAATGCACTTACACTTACTTTTGATAAGTTCAGATAGAGAATACTGTAATGATTTTTCTTCTTTTTTTTTTTTTTAACAAAACTTGTTTGTTTTTTTTTTAATTAAATTTACGTATTACTAATTTGTTTTTGACAGTGATCTACATATAGTTGTTAGACAAAACCTTGAAGTTTTGTGCTGATAAAATGCAAAACCTAGTTTCATCTTTCGTCAACTAAAATCTCGAAGAATAAAATAGCAAAAGATAACGAAACTGGTAAAAGGTAACGAAACTGACGAAAGGTGACGAAACTGACAAAACTGATGAAACTGCAAAGGATATAAAACTAATAAAAGATGAGAAACAGAAGCAAGTGTAAGTAAGAGCACCACTGGCTCCTATATTTATGTTTATACAAGACTAAAATTTAAACCATACAATTGTATCAATTTTAATAAGTAACTTAAGAAGTAATTGATCATTTAAGTAAATTAGCACAATTAAGTTTTTTCATATATTTCTGTATATCGATATCAATTAAAAAATTATTATGCCTATTGGCTAAATCAATAAAAGACTTTTTATTAACAAATTAGCACAGATAATAAAAATTAATAATAGGTACATACATACATTGTTTTCAGATCTTCAATTATAAAATTTCTGTAATTGGCTTTTCAAAACCTAAATATATAAGCCGGGTCAAGCCAACAAACATCTCATCTTCGTTATTAAACATAGATGCTAATAGCTTATTTGCTATTTATAATTTCTGTGATTGGCCTTTTAAAACCTAAATATACGTACAAGTCAATAAACATCTTCAGTAATAAATATAAATAAAAAGTCTCATTTGATGGATTAAATATTTAAATTATAGAGATAATTTTATTATTTTTATTGATAGCTTCATCTAGACCAAAATTTCACTAGTAATTTTTTAGTGAGAGAAGTAGAAATTTACTATTATTATAAAGTTTATCAATTCATTTTTTTTTTTAGCGAGAGCACCAAGGAGATTTTTTTAGTACTAAAGTTTCGTCATTTTGGATTTCGTTTTTCGCTAGCAGAATTTGAGATTTCGCCTTTTGTCAGAGGTTTCATCATTTTGGGGCTTAGATTTCATCTTTTATCATCAAGCAAAAAAGGTTTCATCTAACAACTATAGATCTACATAATTTGTATTTATTGTCATGAATCAGATAATGAAACTGTATTTGCAAATCGCTACAATCACCTGATTTTTGTCCAATTGCGTGATTGTAAAGCATGTTCTTTGGCTGAAAATTCAATAAATATATATTACTTCATAATGGCATTGTCAAATATGGTATTTTTGCAAATAATTGGTTAAGATAAGATGTGCCACTTTGTGGAATGTGCCTATTTTATTAGCGCTTATAAAAGATTGTTGTCAATTTGTGCTACTTAAAATTTCTGTTCCAGTAAATTTTTATTGAAGTGGCATTTATTTTTGGTAATTGATTTTCTTTTACTAAACTTTTTTTAGTAATTTTGGGTTTCACAAATTTCAAACGATTATAGTCTATATACTCTATATGCGCATGCGCATACGCATATGCATGGGCTTGCATATAAGCAGTGCATTCGAAGCGCTGTGCAAGTGCTTCCAAATTTTTGCTTACCGAATATCAGTTGTATATATAAAAAAAATTGCAAATGATGATTAAAAAAGGAAATCTAATTTTTTCTAAAATGCACAAATAAAATTATACATATCTATAGTTGCAAACAATAATGATTAAAAAGGTAATCCATT